GATTCTTCTGACTTGGACTTCGTTGGAGGAGATCTTGCGGTTACTGCTTTTGCAGATCTTTCATTTGATCTTCCATTGAAGATCCTCAGGGAATCTGGTATCCATGGCCATGCTTTTGCATGCACCGGAAGCCTTAACAAACTGTCTGAAAATGCATTCAGAGGCCTATCTTTTCAGAAGTTCCGTGAATCATTCAAAGCTTCAATAGGATTAGGAGTCATTGTTCCCACTAAGCTTTTCAGGATGGAGGTTTGTTTGCTTTCCTTGAGAGTTACATTTAATTATATGTTTGTGTTTTTAGAGTGGCAAGAAACTCTTTGAGAATTTAACTTTTTTCATATCTTATACTGACTTCATTTCCATGATATCTTTTACATTTTTAGAAACAGTTCTATTTATCAAAATATTCCGTATAAAGTAAGCCCTTCATAGGCCTTCCCCTAAAACCCTTCATCCAAATAAGATCCTTGGTAGTTTTCTCATTCTTGTGGAAAAATGGGTCACTAACACTATGTTTGGTTCAAGGAATTTGAAAGGGAAAAGAAAAGAAAATGAAATGGAAAACCATTTTTCTTGTTTGGTTAGAGGGGAAAAGAAAGGAAAAGTGGAAGGAAAAGAAAATGAGGAGGCAAAATGTACCAAGTGGAGGGAAAATCAAATTCCTTCCATTTTGGTGAGGAAAATGAGAGAAAACCATTTTCTTTTCTTTTTCTTCCAAAATCCTTGAGCCAAACATAGCTTAAATATCTTACTCCCACCGTTCTTTAACAAAACTACGTTTATTCTATCATTATTCTTCATTCGTAAATGTTACTAGTAGATAATACTTATAAACATTGGCGTCGCTATTGCAGTTTTTTTCCTTGACTTCTTATAGGGTACTTTATAATAGGGTTGATGTTGCGTACCCCTCCCCCTCCCCCCAAAAAGCCAACTTTGTTGGGATTATACTGGGTTTATTATTGTTGTTTATAATATGCTACATTCAAAGAAGGAAGGTTTTGCATGTTTGAAATTCCCAGGATACCCTTGTTTTCCATTGATGAATTGTTTTTACTATACGGAGTACATTGTAGAAGTTATCTAGCCTTCTCTGATTTTGTGATTTCAACTTCAGATCAACTACTGCCTCATACTGAAACAAGGAGAGCATGACAGAGGGAAGACCGGCTTGCAGTTTAGCTTTTCTTCATCCTTCTAGAAACCAGAAAATTTAAATCCGGCTACTTGAATTTTATACTGGTACAATCTTTCTCGAGGTAAATTTCCATCCATTTTCACCATCCCTGTGTGTGGGGTCAACATTTTTACAGCTTTGGGTCTGTAACCGGAAGATTTACGTCCATGGGTGATCCAATTTCGCAGGGAATAAAGTAAGACTTGAGTATGAACATGATTTCCTCATCATTGAAGCAAATTTGATTTTGTTCGTCGTGTTGATAGTTTTTAAGTATAATCAAGAATTACGGCATCCTTGGCAGTTGATAATTAGATAAAACGTGTAGTGAATGTGTCAATTTTAGTAAGCATATTTGTCGTTCGCACTGGGGATAGCAAATTCGATAGATATTGAGCTCAAAGCAATGATAAAAACACCACTTGAAGGTTGAAAACCTATGAGTTAGGCATGAAAGATTGAAATAGTGTTTAGGCCAAAGTGAGATTGTGTCTCTATCTTTTGAGTTGAACCAAATGGTCATTCTATTTCTCATTACAAACCAAACACATTTTCAATCTATCATGCCTAACTCACATGTTCTCAACCTTATTCCTAATTCCAATTTGATACATGAACATTGACCAAAGATTTATAGGGCGGGCTGGGGGTGGATAGTTTGAGGGAGGATTACGGAGGGAAGGAACCCGTTCTAAGTCGAACAGAGCACTGTAGGGTGCCCAAATGTACCGGTGTCATATTATGACACCCAAGGGTGTTATGAATTTTGTGATACTTCTTCCGTCCTTAAATGGATTGCACTCTTTGAATTCTGTGCAAAACTTTACGTCTTTTAAATTTATTTTATTTATAAATTAGTATAAAATAAAAAAATAATAAATTTTACGTAGTTAAAAATTAGGGTCATGCTACACTTACACCACAAATTGTACCCCATTTGTACACCGCAGTTATACACAAACATTTTGATGGTTTACACCGACACAAATGTTGGTGCGTTAACAAAAATTAACACGGGCACAAAGTGTTGGTGCATTAACAAAAACTAGTTTTGCACCAACACAAAGTGTTGGTGCAAACCTGCGGGGTACAAAGTAGGGTACAAAAGTTGGGGTACAAATAACTTAATCCTAAAAATTACTCCATTTGTCTAAAAACTATTTTCCCTTGGGTACATGGTACTTGGAATCTTGGATGTTCTAGGGGTAGGGGTAGGAATAGTAGAGCTCTAATGTCAATTTTTTACTCCCTTGGCCTCAAATTTAATTGTTTGCCTATTATTTTTATGGTCAAACTTTATTCACATTCTTTTTTCTTTTTATTAATCGTTTGATAAAATAATATAATCGTGTCATTACTAATTTTATAGATATTTTGATTTAGTTTTTAAATAAAACAAATGCTGCCCGTAAATACTAACGATAACCTTTAACGTTATTTCCAAACAAGCCTAACTACATTGAATTCCTTGAATCTCTAAAGTTAGCGTAAACACTGCAACACAAATTTTATATACATTTTAATGGTGTAGATCAACATTCAGAAAAGTTAAAGATGATTCATTGGATAAAACACAAAGGTTAATGTTCAACCTATCACCCTTTACAAATTCATGGTTCTTCAAACTCACGATTGATGGGGATTGTGTAGCATTGATTTCGAAACTCAAGAAGAGGGAAACACCACCCTCTTACTTAGTACTAGTTTTGAAATGAGTAAATTTCATAATTGGCTCTTTATAACAGGTGAGTTTTCCTATTTAGTCCTCTATTATCAAATATTATTCTAGTGATTCTTTTTTTATGGGTATCTTTGCACAAACAGTCCTTTTTTGATCTTCTATAAGGTTGGTGTTAATTTGAGGGCTAAAAGTGTAATTTCACAATGATAATATATCTTTTTTGTCATACACAATTCCAAAGGCTGTTCCGTTTGCGTCGTTTGTGAATTATAGTCGCTTTCTACTACAACCATAGTCTACAAATGTGGTCTTTCGTTGGAATCCTAACCCACAATCATAGTCATTATTTTTGTGTTATCCGCTTAACCAATATCAGAACACGTCACTAGACATAATGTTGATGTCAAATTATACTTTTAGCCTTTAAATTAACACCAACATGGCAGCAGATACTCATTCCGTCTCGCTATATTCGTCCACTTTTGACTTTTGGAACTGTTCATCTAAGCACTTTGACTCATCAAATTCTCTCAATGTGTAAGCCTAAATATAGTCATGTGTGATCTTGTTTGATTTGTCTTAACATATAAATTATTAATATATAATTTCTATAATTTTTTAATATACAAATTACAAAATAAAATGGATTAAAGAAGTGTATTGGATGGTGTGTAAAAATAAAAGTGGACAAATACTCTGGGACATAGGGAGTAAAAAAGGACCATTTGTGGAAAGACGCCCTTAAAAAAAGGACTACGAGGGTAATATTTGATAACAGAAGACTAAATATGGAAACCCCCTGCTATATAGGACCAATTATGGAATTTACTCTTTTGAAATATATTCTTAATGAATGTAAGTCTAAAATCTAAATTGCTTTAGCTTTAGGCATATTAAATGTGGTAATACTATAACTCACTAGTTTTAATCTATGTGATACACGATAAGAATATTACGGAGTATAATATAAAGTACTCTGATTATGTGAAATAGTCTTTACAGTAATATTACGTCCATTATGTAAGTAGCCTTAAAGAATGTATAATTTGAGGTATTTTCCAATTTTACACTTGTGAGGCATGGAAAAAATTTATGAAAATATAAAATTATGAATATTAAAAATGTTTTATTACTAACTTATATACTTCCCAATCAATATTTACATCAATGTTAACAATAATAAATGTCAAAGTTGTGAAGTACTCCGTATTCGGTTATAATATGATTAAACCTTAGAGAGAAGAGAAATAAATTTCATATTCACATAATAGAAAAATGTGTTCCAAACAATCATAAAAGCTAAAAACCAACTCGTTAGTAAAAAAAGGAAAAAATACTAGGAGTAAAATATTGAAAATATACCAAAATAGAAGTTTCATGTTTTTATTCCCGAAATAATATAGTAAAATGCGCATGTCCCGAAATAATATAGTAAAATGTGCATGTAGAGTGTCACCACAGTGCGAACTTCAATTTTGATTTTTTTCTCTAAATTCTACTCCTATTTAGGGTGATTTATCGTAAAAAAAATCAGTTAGTCATTTTGTGGGTTGTGTAGTCCATGACATTCCACCAACACAATCTAATTAAACCTTAGTTGCCCAAGGCAATCATGTTTCAACATTAGACACACACACTATCCACAACTTATTTTAGTTTATTACTTTTCAAAAAATGATTATATAAATTTAATCACATATGCATATTTATTAATTAAATACTTTGTTTCAAAATTTTTGTCTTATTGCATTATTTATTTTATTGTTACATATATTTTTTTAACAAAGTAAATAGAATAAAATTGGTTTAATTGAATGGTGAGAACTGACAAGTGACATTATGACACATATACATTCTCTAATGATGTATCATTATGTAATTAATCCACTTTGTATTAAAATGTTTTATTAATTAAAACTATTTTTAGAAGTTGTTTTTAAAACTATTATCCTGAAGTAGTACTTAATTCAATGATCATTAATTGTGTAGAACTTGTTTGTTTTTAAATTAACATACTAATATATATTCTACCAGTTTAAAATATATTTTGTCATCATTAAAAAACTAAAACAATTAAAATTATATTTATAGAATCCCAAAAATTTAAAATATATATGAGATCGTGCGAAGCACGGAGTTAATATTAGTATTTTAGATAATGTGAGATTTGGGTGTCATCACCACAAAATTTAGGATACTTTTGCACATTCATCTTCTGCAGAAGTCAATCCAATTACGCCACACCCTTCAATTGGACAGAACTCAAAATCCCCCTTTCATTTATCTCCAAACATTACCTCTCTCTCCAGCCTTTTCCTTTAGTCCCATGCTTCTTCCCTTACCTACAAAACCCTCAGTCGTCGATCACAGAACATTTGGATGGAGAATCAGATCCGTGGCGGCGGAGCACGAAATCGACATGGTGAGAAACAAGCGAGGAGTTTATACCGCTAAGCCCAAGGAAGTCGTCGTCCTGTGGGACTTGGATAACAAGCCGCCGCGGGGTCCTCCGTACCAGGCGGCGGTGGAGCTGAAGAGGATGGCTCAGAGATTCGGCAACGTAGCGGACATGTCTGCCTTCGCAAACCGTCACGCCTTCACCCACCTGCCGCGTTGGGTCATCGACGAGCGCCGCGAACGGCGCCGGATGGATAATCTCGAGCGCCGAGGAGATCTGACCCCGCATCAGCCGTACGTCTGCACCGTGTGTGGCCGGAAATGTAAGACCAATTCCGATCTGAAGAAGCATTTCAAGCAGCTGCACGAACGGGAGAGGCAGAAGAAGCTGAACCGGATGGCTTCACTGAAGGGGAAGAAGCGGCAGCGGTACAAGGAAAGGTTTCTGGACGGCAACGACAAGTATGCCGAGGCAGCAAGGAGATTGATAGCCCCAAAACAAGGGTACGGGTTGGGGTCGGAGCTGAAGCGAGCTGGGGTGTTTGTGAGAGTGGTGGCAGATAAGCAACAGGCAGCGGATTTGGCCTTGAAGCAACGAATGCGGCAGCACTCTATGAGCAGAGGAGGAGTAGATTGGGTGGTGTTGGTTTCGGACGATTCTGATTTTTCTGAGATGTTGAGACGGGCTCGGGAGGTGAATTTGGGGACGGTGGTGGTGGGGGATTTGGATAGAGCATTGGGGAGGCATGCTGATGTATGGGTTCCATGGCTTGCAGTTGAAAAAGGGGAGATCGGGGAGGACGATTTAGTACTAGTAATAGGGAAAGAGAAGAATCATGAAAGGCTCTCTGTTGGGGGATTGAGTGACGAAGTAATTGCTTTTGATGGCTTTGCTGAAAAAAGGCAAATTAATAGTGACTTGAATGTTTGGGAAGAAGAGAGTGATGAAGATGAATACTCAATCTTCGATTCTGAGGATGACGAATCAGACTGGGATGATGATGATGATGATGACGGCGACTTCTTTTCACTAACGCTGTGAGGTTAAAAATGAAAAAAAAGAGCTAGTATGTTTATATTATACAACAAATTTTGAAGATATGCATGCATCAACTTGTTTGTCTCAAGTGAGTTCAGTTTTATTGGTCCCGCTCAAATGATTTCCTTTAATGGTTTTAGTTAACATTGTGCATTTTCGTTATGTTTTTGTAATGGGAGTCCTCAGGCATTCACAAAAAAGGTGTCCTCATGTACACAAATCTTAAATGAACATTAAAAGGTCTCCCCCCATCTCGCAAAACATTTCCCCTTTCATTCAAATTTTTATTGTCCCAAAAAACTTTTCTTCGTCATGAATAGATTTTTTCTTGGTGGTAATACTTCTCCAGTCTGCTCTATGGGAGGCCCAACTTCAGTCTTTGGTTTTAAGTTAAGAGGACTTGGCCCTTCTGAGCCAAGAAGGGCAGTAATCAATGAAAGTTCTGATTCTTCTGACTTGGACTTCGTTGGAGGAGATCTTGCGGTTACTGCTTTTGCAGATCTTTCATTTGATCTTCCATTGAAGATCCTCAGGGAATCTGGTATCCATGGCCATGCTTTTGCATGCACCGGAAGCCTTAACAAACTGTCTGAAAATGCATTCAGAGGCCTATCTTTTCAGAAGTTCCGTGAATCATTCAAAGCTTCAATAGGATTAGGAGTCATTGTTCCCACTAAGCTTTTCAGGATGGAGGTTTGTTTACTTGCCTTGAGAGTTACATTTGGTAATATGTCTGTGTTTTTAGAGTGGCAAGAAACTCTTTGAGAATTTAACTTTTTTCATATCTTATACTGAGTTCATTTCCATGATCTCTTTTTCATTTTTAGAAACATTCTATTTATCAAAATATTCCATATAAAGTAAGCCCTTCATAGGCCTCCCCCCAAAACCCTCCATCCAAATAAGATCCTTGGTAGTTTTCTCATTCTTGTGGAACAATGCGTCACTACATATCTTACTCCCACCGTTCTTTAACAACAAGTACGTTTATTCTATCATTATCCTTCATTCGTAAATGTTACTGAGTACATAATACCTATAAACATTAACGTAGCTATTGTAGTTTTTTCCTTTGACTGCTTACGGAGTACTTTACAATAGGGTTGATGTTGCGTACCCCTCCCCCTCCCCCCAAAAAGCCAACTTTGTTGGGATTATACTGGGTTTATTGTTGTTTATAATATGCTACATTCAAAGAAGGAAGGTTTTGCATGTTTGAAATTCCCAGGATACCCTTGTTTTCCATTGATGAATTGTTTTTACTATACGGAGTACATTGTAGAAATTGTCTAGCCTTCTCTGATTTTGTGATTTCAACTTCAGATCAACTACTGCCTCATACTGAAACAAGGAGAGCATGACAGAGGGAAGACCGGCTTGCAGTTTAGCTTTTCTTCATCCTTCTAGAAACCAGAAAATTTAAATCCGGCTACTTGAATTTTATACTGGTACAATCTTTCTCGAGGTAAATTTCCATCCATTTTCACCATCCCTGTGTGTGGGGTCAACATTTTTACAGCTTTGGGTCTGTAACCGAAAGATTTACGCCCATGGGTGATCCAATTTCGCAGGGAATAAAGTTAGACTTGAGTATGAACATGATTTCTTCATCGTTGAAGCGGATTTGATTTAGTTTGTCGTGTTGTTAGTTTTTAAGTAGAATCAAGAATTACGGCATCCTTGGCCGTTGATAATTAGATCAAAACGTGCAGTAAATGTGTGAATTTTAGTAAGCATGTATGTCGTCCGCACTGGGGATAGCCGATTCGATAGAAATTGAGCTCAAAGCAATGATAAGAATACCACTTGAAGGTTGAAAATATATGAGTTAGGCATGAAAGATTGAATTAGTGTTTAGGCCAAAGTGACATTGTCTCTCTATCTTTTGAGTTGAACTAAATGGTAATTCTATTTCTCATTACAAACCAAACACTATTTCAATCTATCATGCCTGACACATGTTTTGAACCTTATTCCTAATTCCAAACTGATACATGAACACTGACCAAAGATTCATGGGGCGGGCCGGGGGTGGAGAGTTTGCGGGAGGATTAGGGAGAGAAGGAACCCGTTCTAAGTTGAACAGATCACCGTAGGGTGCCAAAATGTACCGGTGTCATAGTATGACACCCAATACCGGTGTCAAAAGAACAAGGGTGTTATGAATTTTGTGGTACTTCCTCCGTCTTTAAATGGATTGCACTCTTTGAATTATGTGCAAAACTTTACGTCTTTTAAATTTATTTTAGTTATAACTTAGTATAAAATTAAAAAATAAATAAATTTCACATACTTAAAAATTACTCCCTTTGTCTACTAATTATCTTCACTTGGGTACATTATACTTGGATGTTCCAGGGGTAGGGGTAGAAAGAGTAGAGCCGTAATGTCAATTTCTTACTCCCTCCCCAAGTTTAATTGTTTGTAAGCTATTTTCATAGTTAAATTTTATTCATTTTTTTTATTTTTATTAGTCATTTGACATAATAATAGAGTCATGTCACAATTAGTTTTGTAGATCTTTTGATGTTTTTTAAATATATAATTTTTATTTTTTAATTTTACATCATTTTTTATATAACATAATTTGAAAAGCATCGTAAACCAAAATAGATAATTTAAATTGAGACGGAAGGAGTACATTGAAACTCGATCTCAAAGTTAATTCTCATAATAAAATACGTAGTAGTTGGACGGAAGGAGATCTACTCTATATTAACTACGGCTCGTTTGAGAACAATGTTTTTGATTAGCTTTAACATTTTAGATAAAATTTTAACGATGCAGATCAACTTTTGAAATGATAAAGATAAACGTTATCTGTAGATAGCATTTTGAAATCGTTAATAGTAACCTCTAATGTCATTCCCAAACAGGTCTAGCTACATACGGAGTAGTATATTCTAATATACTCCCTCCATCCCAGAAAGAATGCCACGTTTACTATTCTGGTCTCTCGATAACTTTTGTTTGTTTACTCGTTTTAGTTGACCATTTGATAAAATAAAATATTCTTGTCGCATCTTGTTTTGTAGAGCTTTTCATATACTTTTAAATGGTGTAATTTTTACTTTTTATTACTCTACCAATTCGAAATTAAAATGATTTTAAAAGAGATCATATTTTGCACGTCGTTCGAAGTGTTGCAAATAAATTGGGACGGAGGGAGTATCATGTTTGTTTTGTTTTTTAGTCCTTTACAATTTATCATGATTATTTCCCTTTAAAGAAAAGATGGTCCGACTTACGAGTATAACTCACAGTGATTCCCTAAAGTCTTAATTGCCCCATTTTTATTTTATTTATCTACATGCCCCAAATTACGTGAAAGTGCAAAGTACAAACACTGCAACAAAAAATGTATAGACATTTTTAAAAGTGTAGATCAACATTCAAAAAAGTTAAAGATGATTCACTGGATAAAACACCAAGGTTACAAATTCATGTTCATGGTTCTTCAAACTCACGATTGAAGGGGATTCTGTAGACCTGCATTATATAAGAGGTCGAAGCGAATTATCAAATACTCGTATTGATTTTTTTTTTCATTTATATTTGCATCTTGGCTAATAAGAAGCTACGTGATCTCCATATGACTATGATCTACTCTCAAATGCAATGGAGTGCAACCCTTACCATTTGAAATGGTGTCACCATATATGCTAAAAAATAAAGGAAGAAATGGTTTCACTGCAACGATTGCGGGGAAGATTTTTTAAAAAAAAATGACTCCCAATTCATCTGTGAACTATATAGTACAAAGTATTACATTATTTTCGATATTTCTTTTGGTATTACAATTGTTTAGAATTTCTATGCACAGAACAACAACAAGAGGTGACATCGCCAACCAACAAACATATTTACAGAAAAAACATACGAAGTACTATACTTTACATAAATGACTAAATGTATACTGAACTCAAGATGCATAATAGATCTTGATCCTAATGTATATTGTTTGGTTTGGTTTAATAAAAAAATCTAATTGAAAATAACAAATAGTCTAATTGAAACATGTGTACGAAGCATAATCAAAAAGCACAAAACAATGCAATGGAATCTGAAACTTTTGTATTCAGAATCATCCACCGTTTGAGAAGTTCAGATTTTAAAAAATGAATCAGAAAAAAAATTTTAAAATCCCAAATTTTTATAAGCATATTCAAAATGACAACATTAAAAATTGAACAAGGTAAAAGTGAATCCAAAATCAACCCTTGTTCTATAAGTTTAGGTTTAAGAAATGAATTCAAAAGAAAATGAGATCAAGTCGAGAAATTACCACTAAAAGGTGATAGGCAAGTACTGCTTCATGTCTCCGGTTGAAGCAAAAATCAAAACGTAAAGGTCTAAAGAGGAGATGCCAAGAGTAGGTGCTGAAGAATCACTTTCGACTGAAGATGACACACTTGCCACTGGAAAGATCTACGGGAAAGGATAACTATATCACGTATGACATTTTTTACACAGAAATAGATCATCAACTTTCAAATGATCCATGTGACATGAAAAACATATACATACAAAGAATTTGAGCCAGACTATACTTTGGGTGATGAAGCAGTTGTGCGCTTACAAACAATTCTCTCAAGTCTCAAATTGACGTGTTTTGGTAAATAGTAGGAATCAAATATATCAGGTACTAATGATAAAAAAAATCATCAAGAGACATGGAGAGAGACAGAGAGATTGTACAAAAAATAGCAGCCATAAAATGTCATATCTTGTAATTATCTCTCAAACCAAGAAAGAGTTCATAAATGTTGTCTCATGTATAGCCTTGTATATGAGAAGCAAAAGTAAAAAGAACAAAAAGAACAAAGTGAGAATCAAATACAACTATTGTAAACTACAAAGTTAATGTTCTATAAAAAAATCCAATATGTTTATATTATACAACAAATTTTATAGATATGCATGCATTAACTTGTTTGTCTCAAGTGATTTTAGTTTTACTGGTCCCGCTCAAATGGTTTCCTTTAATTTTTTTTAGTTAACATTGCTCTCTAGACATTCATCGATCTGGTTGAGAACGGATCAAAGAGAATGATCTATCATAAATAATTAACTATTTGAACTTCATTAAAAAAACTCACTCTAAAACATACTCCGTAATAAATATATTTTAAATTCTTACCTGATGAATAGAGAGGAACAACTTTAAAGGGGTGTAATCTAAGCCCATTCTTAAAATAGGGGGAGCTGAAGAGCCTGGGAGATCAGAGATACAAGTCCCTTGTGCAGGCTCTGGAACGAAGAGATCGATGTCAGGCAATTCATCTTCGGGCCACATCCGCAGGTAGTCGTCCTCCATATTGTCGTTCCCCATTCCCGACCTTGTCCCTGTCGGGGAACTCAATGTCATCCTCATCATCAATGGCATTCCATTCACAAAACTCCTTCAATTCATCTCCCATTTCTATCCCCCTTTTCCTCATCTCCTTCAAAACCACCTTCACGTCTTCGTATCTCCTCCGTCGAATCATCTTCCTCCCCAATTCCCCTAAATTCGCGCAGTCCAATCGCTCGTCCCTCCCTGCACACGCCATTACATACTGAAATGCCTGCTTGTGGAAGCCCAACCGCACCATTGCCCCAATCACATGAGCATGAGTCGAATGCAGCGGCACAATCCCTTCCTCCTTCATTCTTCTCAAAACCTTCAGTGCTGAATCTACTTTCCCCACCCTGCACGCGCCCAAAACCAGCGCGTCATAGGTCCTGTCGTCAGGTCCCACCTTCTCCTCCGCCAAATTTGTTAGAATTCCGGCAGCCTTCTCCAGATCTCCGACGCGGCAGTATCCGGTGAGCAAGTAATTGTAGGTTGTGATATCCGGCCGGACATTCAAGGCCTTCATCGCCCCAACCACGCGCCAGGCCTCCTCGAAATTCCTCCTCTTTGTGTGCTCGATGAGTATAGGGTGGAACGTGGCGGCGCTCGAACAGAATCCGCCGCTCACGGCGATCTCCGCCACGCGCAGTGCCTGTGGCGTGAGCCGGAGCTTCGAGAGGCGAGCGATGAGGCAATTGTGTGCGCTCTCCCGGGCGAATCGATGATTGATGCCGGAGAGGGCGGCTAGGAGATCGTCGAGCATGGAGATGTCATTCCAGATGAACTTGAAGGTCCGGCAGGTGTTGAAAAGGCCGTCTCTGCCGCGCTTCTCGAGGAGGCGTTTGACGGTGTCGAAGTCTCCTTCCCCGCCGGCACTGTCAATGAGCTTGTCGTATTTCGACGTGCTCGGCGTCTCCGCCGTCGTGGCGGCGCCGAGCAAGATTTGGGTGGACAAAGCGCGCGAAAATGGTGAAGATTTCGGGGTTTCGCAGAGAAGACGCCGGAGAAGCATCCCGGCTAGGGTTTTAGAAGAAAAGGTTTAGAATTCAAAAGGTCAAAATAGTTTGTAGGCAATAGAGGAATAACGATTTTGGACATTTGTGTTGCACTTAGTTGGTGGAGTATATAAATCTTATTTTTAGATTATAGCAAGTGAATAGTAATATAGTATATACTCCTTCCGTCCGCCTAAGATGTTCTCATTTTGATTTTTGGTGGTTTTTAAGGAGAGTTGAAAAAAGGTAAAAGTTTACCATAATACTCTTAATGAAAAATGGATGGAGTGTATTAAATGAGGTGGGTGAGATGTAATAAATAAAGTAAGTGGGGGTAGTTGTGGTATTTTACTTGTTAAAAAATGAAATGAGATCTATTGTGGACAAAGAAAAAAGGCTATTGGGAAGATCTATGGTGGACAGAGGAAGTATATTTTTTCATTCTCCAATCATATTTTATTTTATTTTTAAATTATAGACTTATTATAATAGAATGAGCATATTATGTTTAGTATGTCAAAGTCATTTTTAAGCAAGCTTGCTAAAATATAACATACTCTTTGTAGATAAAGAAAAAGGTTTGGCTTGTTATGTTTTAACGAGTCAAAATGATATTAGTTGGAGATGCTCTAAGTATTATCAACACTTTCAGGATATCTTGTGAGAGAGTGAGAGCTACCATTAGAACAAAATATATTTCCGTTTTGGCTTATTTACAATTCGGATATATGAAGTATAAGCCACCAATTTAGACTCATAGGTGGATGAAAAATGCTAGGGGTACACCTTTGGTGTTTCCCATTTGTCCCACACCCCCCTCCTTGTTCACATAAAAAGGCAAGAAATTCAAAAAAAAATAAAAATCAAATTAAAATGGATGGTGGAGAAGGGGGTGGTGTACATTTGGGGTACACCTTTGGTGTACCCCTAGCATTGCTCTAGGTGGATATATCCAAATTGGATTCTTGACTGATATAATGTATTGTAATATCTCTACAAGTTGAGGTGTCTTTTCCTAAATTATTTTAAAAAAAAGGATGAATTCCATCCTTGGGGGTCCTTCAACATCGATCGAATCATTAGCTGAAAAAAAATAAATTAAACTATACTTTCAATCAGGCGTGTAGTAGTAGGGTTCCATACTTACTATTTACAAAGGTCTTATGTTTTACGTGAGTGTCCCTCTCGGCCTCCACTAGACTTCAAATTCAAAATCTGAGCTACGGCTTACCGACTATTAATTTTCAAACTCATAAGCTCTCTAAAAATCCTTTCTTCCAACTACCAGCAGACTACCCGAAAAGGCTATATTTCCCTTCTATTTCTATTCGGAAAAAAAATGTTTCTCAATCAAATTCAATCATATGTACTTCAATTGAAAGTTTCTTCTAAAAAAAATTGTTTGTACTTAACAATGTTGTTTCTTAATGAGAAAATAAAGACAAAGGTTGGAGGTTTAGATGAAAAAAAAGATAGAAAAAGATTGGAGGCAAGTGTGAGATCAATGCTTTGTGCTTCATAAAGCATTAGGGAATAGGGATAGAATTGCATTGTTTAAAAACTATTAATATAATTAGTGTAGCCTTAGTGGTTCAATTACTTTTTGACTAATTTCATTTTAACTTTTTCTTTTCTCAACCTGTGTAGAAAGTTCATATTCAGGCCATAAAACAATACACATTATTTATAAAAATGATTAAAAATCAGTACAAAAGGCATTGCAGCGAAGCAAATATGTAGTTTGCATGCTTCTGAAAATTACAATTTGTCTTCCAACAGACTACCTGACTGCAAAAAAACGAATCTAAAAAAAACAATATTACAGAAGAACTATGAACAATGAACATCACTATAAAAGCAAAAAATAGTACTGATTTTTTTTAATATAAAGAAAAAAGACTACTTCCAACTCATTTCGCCGTCTTCTATAACACAAGTGTATAAGTGCAGGAAAGGGTTAATAGGAACCCATAGGCGGCATGCCGAATGGAGGCATGGGTGGCATTCCCATGGGAGGGGGTGGGCCATAACCTCCGACGCCGGGACCACCAGCCATGCCCGGAATTGGTGGGGCAGGCAACGCTAGCGGGAGCAGCTGTGCATACATATTCTGTACACCAATAAAGATATATTTATTAAATATGTTTGTAGGAACATGCTTACTTTAACATGACAGCAAAGTTGACACCACAAGAGGGGACGATCACACGTAGAAACTCATTGTCTGTGAAACACAGCCTATGTTTGAAAGTGTCTTTTGCAAGTTAAAATGATATTTTAAATACTTAGGTGATACTCTTTTTTTAGGATGGGGGGAGTTTTCTTTTGGAAATTCAAATAAAAAAACACTTTGTAAATGTATTTTCAGAAATTATGTGGCTTTCCATTACATAAATGTTGGGTAGAAAGAGTTTTTATCGAATGCACTTCGAAAAATCAAATAACAAAAGCCCCAACAGAACAACTTTAGCATCATAGGAAATGTATAAAGACTATATATCTCTGAGAAACAAAGTAGATGTGAAGACATAGTTACCTGTTGCATAATAACATCCTTCTCTTCATTCTCTTTAGCCTTCGCCTCAGATTGAGCTTCAATTTTCTCTTTGATCAGCTCATCAACTTTACCAGTGTATTCTCGGATGAACTGGGGAAGCAATACAGAACCAAAAGGAATCGTGTTAAGTGAAACTGAACTTGCGTAAACAACAAGATTAATTGTTCTTCTGCCATCTTCTGTTTTTAGATACAAGTTGGGAGAAGATGAACATTAATGAGCATGGGACAACTAAAAAGTATACTGCTTAATCGCTTATTTTTAGGTTTTCTTTTTGGTGAATTGAACAGATGGAACTCATGAAAATCAGATAAAGAGAAGAGCAAGTGTGAGCTAGGTAAATTTGTGTGCGAGAGAGAGAGAGAGGGGGGGCTCACTTGTAACAGGTACGGGAATGCAAAGTCAATCATGTTATTCATCCATGCAAGCTCAAGGGCAACATCTGGTCTTATGAGATCATAACAAACAAAGAGGCACGATGCGAAGCATTCTCTTTTCCCCTGCAAAAATCCATGGAATCCAATGTTTTGATTCACCACCCACTCCAAACACCATTTATAAACAAGAGAGAAAGAAATACAGAAAAGAAACCAATCAGATTACCTGCTCGATAAAATAGACCAGCAACTCTTCAGCAAGTTCGCAGTCCCCAGATTGTGAAGCTGTCTCCATGGCATCTTTGTATAGATTGTCTTTTTTAGACAGAGCAATGGATTGCTTCCACCGGCCAGCCTTCTTATAGATGTAAGCAGCAACTCGCCTCATCTCAAGGAGCTCGTGTTTCTCAATCTGATCAGGTACATAGATAGACATGTTGGAACTTGGAAGAAAGTAATTAGGAGCAGTTTATTTCACTTCACAAATGACAAATCAGCCGTTGCATCCATATTAAGTCTTACCAAGCAAGTTCTAGAATGAACGCAAACATAATAAAATAATGTAACAGAATTAACTCATTCACCTTCTGCGCAAGGCCAATCTGATCAAAGTTGTCATGCAATTCAATAGACTCTCGAAGTCTGTCATAGTCTTCCTCTTCAACATATATCTCATTGAGGGCCTCATTAACAGCAGAAACGTTATTGCTTTGTACAGCAACCATGTATGGTTTCACTAAACGCAAATGACCTGCCTAATCTCCACAAAAGATACAGATGGTTTAGCAAAAGGGATCAGTCTTTATACCAGTGATTTAAAAAAATATTTTTAACTATAATATGTATCCTGAAGGAATTTTCATTGAATATTAACATAACAGTTATTAATTTGAAAAATTAATCATAATCTATGAATTCTTTTAAGTCTTAGATTGGTAGTTTCAATCATTCAGGTCCTAAGATGGATAGTATTCATGTTCCATGTCTATTATACATTATTAACCTATCTTTCGCGTCATGAAAAAACCAAATTAACTAAAACAACGTTTTGACTTTTCAAGGCGAAGTACAGAAAAAAAAGGACCCACTCACTTTTCTCATGATGTCCACCACACGTGTGTGATCCACCTTCAATGCAAGAACATTCAGGAGATCATTAATGAGGTCGGGATGCTCTTGCAAATAGAAATGCACAGCCTTGTAATACAACTCCACATTGGCAACTTTGACAGCAATGTCTTTGAACTGCATGTGGTCCCAAGCATCTGGGGAGTGGTTCATGACAGTAGTGGCTGCATTGTCAAACTCATCATATTGGATATACAGATAAGTAAGCTCCATCCAGTGTTGTTGCTCGTCGCAGGCTCGTATGAGTTTAGGAATGTTGAGCCGTGTGGAGAATAACTTAATATGCTCCATGAGCTTCTCGTGACGGTATCTGGCATATAGCACACCGAGCTCTGTGAAGATGCCCATATGTGCACGCTCCAATCCCAGACCACTCTCCATGAGAGAGATTAGTTCATTGAAGCATCCTCTGTGTTGATAAAATTCACTTACTTCTTCTAGGTCATCTACCTGCACTATGATATTCAGCCCACAAATCTGCGCCAACCGAAACTCCTCGGCATCAACACAAGCAAAGCAGACTTCTTTCCATGTCTTTGCACTATTTGCCTTGCGAGCAGCATCGACGGCACCTTGAAATTGGTTCAACTTCACTAGTGTGCTAGCCAATTTTCCCCAATTAGAAATGAATGCAAATATGATCTTTGCAGCCTCATATAAACCTCCATCAAACAAGCGGTCACCAACATTAGGCAGGTTGGCTACATTTGGCATTAGAATAAATTCTTCAATATCACCCAACCGTTCTATCTTGGCATACGCAAAAATAATTTCACTGTCTACCTTAGGCTCCTTCGTTTTCTGCCTAACCATCAGTAGATACTTAACCAAGTCATGGTAAACATCTGAATCCTCAGCAGCATGAATAACTTCCAAAAAGTGTGTGGCATCATCTGCACGGATGAATGACTCAATTGCATCACTAACTAATCCTTCTCGAAGTTGGGCTTTAGCTACCTGACTCCACACAGAGTCTTCCTCAACACGAAATGCAAACTCAACTCCCCGGTTAATATCTTGAATGTAATCTAATAGAACATTAACCGCCTGAACATTCAGGTTAAATTTCTTGAAAATAGCAAAGGCTTCTTCATACAATTGGGCCTCAGCAGCAACTTCACCAACCGCAGGTCCATCAAAGTTATCAAGCCTGTTGACGTAGTCCATAACTCTAGATGGATCAGCTTTTATGGCTGTCAAGATGAGCAGATTTTGTAGGTTGAGGTTTCCACTAAATGCAGAGTTTTGGAGCACAATCTTCTCAAGAAGCTCAATTAATTCATGGGGAAGATCAGCAGTCATGAAAGCTTTAACAGCTGCAGACACTTGCTCTGGGCTCTTGCTTTCAGGCAAAGCAGTAGATACAACTTGATCAATAAGTTGTCTCCTGAATTCATTTTCTGGGTTGAGAACTTGGTTCCAAAGATCAGCATCCATCCTTTCCACTACATACCTGCAATAACCCCCCAAAAAATGAACAACCAGGCCCTTACAATTCATTGGGAATAAGAATAACAATAAGCAGAAGGATTACAAAGAAAACAGCTTTTTTTTGTTTGATCCATTTGGAGCCCAAAGATTCAATGCAGCTCTTAGAATTTTGCATATATATATATATATATATATATATATATATATATATAGAGATTTCTTAGTCTATATATAATAGAAATATACAAATAAAATGACTTCGAACAAATATCTAGAATTATTGTATAGAGTTTGAACCAATTTTGTTTTTCTTCAATTTTACTTTCCCGCCAGATTTCTTATATACATTATTTCTCTATCATTTTGTGTTCCAAACAGACCCTTGTTGTAGCTGTATGTAGCAGTACTGGTTAAAAATCAACAAGCTAATACAAACCTGGCCTGAAGTTTGAACAGTGAATTCTTGCTCGTTACGTTGATAAGCTCAGCATCACACTGTCCTCTCCTGTATGCAACAACGGCAAGCGTAGGATCACGCTTCTCACAATACTTGCCCACAACACGTGAGTCATAAAATGGGTTGGTTGTGAGGAAGTGCTCTGGATTGTTGTTGCTATCAATTATTATTTTTCCGAGAGCATTGTGAACATGAACATCTTGGCTTCCTTCACTCACAAGGTGCTCCAGGAATTGAGTGAGCAACCGTAGCCGATTCCTGAAATCAAATACCATGAGAATATAAAGTAAAAAATCACATGGAAAGAAGGGTGACTGCGTGTGTGTGTGTGAGAGAGAGAGAGAGAGAGAGAGAGAGAAACCAACCTTTTCTCACATTCATCAACAAGTGGCTCAACTGGGAGCAGAGAACGAACCGACAGTATCAAGCCTTTAATGAAATCTTCAGGGCACTCATCATCTAGAAGTTGCCCAACAACCAATGGAGCATTTCCTGGATTGACCTGTCCGAGAAAAATCAGAAAACATAAATTGTTTGCAACTTGATGACATTACAAACAATATTATATGGTATCCTAGCTTGAATTTGTACCTTTTGTACATATCCTTCAATATATCTGAGCATATTGTTTGTGTATAGGTAGTGAGTCAGATCTGGAACAAATCCAAAGCGGTCGCATACATTAATCAAGGGCCGGGCATCAGGAAGTTTTGCTTCCATCAAAAAGTTTTTGGTTTTCTCTGGGTCGTAAAAGTTGGATTCCCGAGTTACGCGCTCAACCTCCTTTATTTGCCCAGTTTTCGCAGCTGCCTCTATGTATTTAAAGTGGATTTCAGGATCCTCACTGCAATAATGCATGACAAAGCATGAGTGAACAATACTAACAAAATAAATTCAACCCTTCACTGGAAAAATATTTTCTTTTGGCAATGTATACCTTGAGCTCAGATATGACCCTAAGAAGAAGTACAGCCCATCGTATGATTTGAACTGCTCAAAAAGCTTTATGCAAGCATCAAGGCCCATCTGCTCACAGTACTCTTTTGCAACCTGAATGGAGTGTGTAATCAATCAATGCACTTAAATGCAAGTCTCCATGTTAACCCAGCAAGACTCCTGTAATAAAGATACCTGAACAATTATTTGAAGATTTCCTTTCAGATTGATTAGCAGAAGGTCCTTCATGCATTCCAAAGCCCACTCGCGTGAAAGAGTTCCAAAGAATTCAACCAGAGCCTGAACAGCAACCCATAAATCTTAGTCAGAGTCTAACCATCATTAACCAAATGGAGTGAAATGAATTGATTTTACCAACCTGAGGCTCAATGGCATGAGTATTTACAATAACACGCTTTATATCGGGCAGCTCTGTATAGTGCTGCATATACAGCAAATAGCATTTAGAGTGGTATGCAGGTATAGAAATTAAATTTCTGTATATTTAAAAAAAGGGTACACAACTATCAAAAAAAGGGTAAACAACCTTCAAGGCCTGAATATAAAGACCAGCTTTTTCACAAAGTTGAGCGATTCGAGGACGGTCATAATGACTGAACATCCCATTTGCCAAAATCGCATCCGCCACATTTGGGAAAGTAACAAGGTTGATCTCCAATACCTGGATATGAAAGAGATGTCATTATACTATAATCAAAAGGCTCAAGCTGAACAAATTTCTCTACAGCTGGTGGAAGGAGATCAACCTTGGTCTGTAAAAAACCATGCTCGGGAAGGTTGGGTTTCAGAACATCCAATAAAAAAGCAGTAGCCTCACGGATCATATTCCTCTGTGAAAAAGAGAATTTCATTCAAGATTAGGACTCCCAACTCTAAGGATGTTATTATTGTATTTTATAATGAAAAAGCAGAAAACAGCAGTCTCACCTGAAGAAATAGATCAGTAATGGTGTTGTAATCAACAGGACAACCTCCCTCCATTTGAGACATCATTAGGGAAAAATTAACAGCTCCCTGAAAATATAAAATATAAATTTCACCATAAAAGTCCATAATCCGTAAGTTACTCAAAATGTTTTTTTCCCTTATGCATTGATTGCGTTCTTCACTAAAGAAGAGTCTAGTTTACAAATTATGATAAAACACCATTACTTATTTCAGTAAGAAAAAATAAAACTACAAGGAACACAAGGGAATAATGTTAGCTCTAAAGACGTTTGATCATTTGCATTTAGAGCAAACACAGGATATATCATTGCCTTGCAAATGATAGGTGGCATTAAAAAAAGGCATACCTGTGGATCGGATCGAAGAATTGTTTGCAGAAGGAAAAGATAGTCAGGTGTATACCCAACCTGTACCAATTTCCAACAAAAATTATCAGATAATCATATCATGATTGTTAGCTGAATACAAAATGAAGAACAAACCCCGGTAGGCAATTATAAACAAGAAAAGGCTCATCATTTATTTTAGAAACTAGATGAGCCAGGAGAGAAACTTGAAATGAACAAAAGAACTGCTGCTAACCTGCTTGGAGTATACTAAAATTTTGTCAAACTCTCTGCGCTCAGCAAATGCTGCAACAACCTTTGGGGTTGCTCTCGCTTTAACATATATTTTCAATGCCAAGTCGTTATCCACAGTCTACAAGACAATGTTTTCCTATTAATGCATGAAACAAGAAAAAAATGGACCAACTTACATTCTGCACAAAAGATCACCAACAGAAAAAGAAAAACTCACCTTTACAAGATCCCCAAGTTCCTCACTACACTCCAGTTTATCCTCAGCAAACCAGTTCTCCAAAAGATTCTTTTTGTTTTGGTTCACAACAAGACGTGAAAGTTCCAACGACTCAAAGGCATTAAGCTTCCCTCTTGTTAAAAGTGTTCCAAAGTACTGAAGCAAAGGAGGTGTCTGCCCTGCCTGAGCAGGTACACTCTGCAAATAAGACATTAAAAAGTTTAAACCAAATGATTGATAATACAGATACTGAGTTTTTCCCAGTGAATACAAAAACTTTTCAGGCATAAAAACCAAAATAAATGTCAATAATGGCATCACTGGAACACCTGAAATTTGGCAACAGTATCAGGTGTACGAAGAATGCCTTGCGGAGACTCAGCAGCAAGCTCAGCAGCCTCTTTATACTTTGTTTGGGCAAATAATTCTTGGAAACGTTGGACGACCTGTGCATTTAGATTGTTAGGGATCTAACCAATAAAACAACACTAAATCTAACAATTGTTACATACTGTTGTCAAGGAATCGGATAGACTCAAGAACAGCAGCTAGATCAAATCTAAAGCATATATAGTAGGTAGCAATGAAGATGGTTTGTATTTTAATTTTTACTCTAAGAAAAAAACTGTAAGCTGTAAGGTTCAATTTTCCAACTACACCTTATAATTCTAAAGGATTGTCTAATATTCCTATTCTAAACCAGAAATGGGATTACTCCCTCGGTTCCAACTTAGTCTGCATTATTTCTTTTTCTGGTTGTTCCAATTAGTGTGCACACTTCATTTGTTTGGAAAGAGCATAAAAAATTACAAAATCATTACAATTATTACTAGCTGGCCCACCCTCCCATCACTTTTTCTATACGCTCAAGCAATTTCTCTCTCAATAAAAATTCTACAAGGACATAGTTCCATTTATCCTTACACTAAGTGCCAGTCAAACAATGCAAACAACTTAGGAACGAAGGGAGTAGTATATAGAGAAGCATTTGTGACTCCTTTTTATATGTGTCCAAAAGAAGATAAAGACTGACCACCCCATTATTAATTTTTAATCATCACTATAAGCCCTGCTTTTAGGGTAAGATCTGAGCCAACCAGCTAATACAACTTGATGCCTACCCTCCTAATTTTATGAGGTAGACACCATGTAAAATGAAAGACGTGAAAAATTTGAAAAACCAAACATCAGCTCACCAAATTCTCAGCACCAGGAAGATTTCCTCGTTTGGCAAGATTAACAGCAAGCTCAAGATTATTCAACTGTCAATTACATGTAAAATTTATAAGTGTGATTATATTAGCTTCAGATTTTTAATACCAAGTTGGGAAATGGATATAAACTTACTTGCCCACTAACAAAAGGCACAAGCGTGGCTTCATTTACTGTGGCAAGCAACACCTGGCCTCTCCTGTTGATAGCATAGAAACCCCCTATAGAGGTTGCCTCGGCTGTCAAAAAAATGGGGTCTGGGCTTATCCTGTTTCTGTACACTGCAGTAGCTGTTTCCAGATCATAGACAAATAAAAGCCCAAGCTTTGTAATCACATAAATTAAGCCATATTTCTGGGATATCTGCAGCCAAGAAAAATGGATTTCAACATATGACATGCCATTTCAACCATCTTAGACGGGGAAACGATGGAAGAACATGAAGGCAAACCTGCATTGCAACTGGAAAATCATCAGCAAAATCTGGAGGAAAGAAAAGATCTGCTTGCTTCTTGGTAAAGGATGGTTTCCCTACACATAAAACATGCCAAACAATAGAATTAAGAGCAGAAATCTATGTCCATTAAGTATGAGAAAAAAAATTGTGTGAAGATCAATGTGGATACATCGGAGAACTTGATGGCATAAGACTTAAAAAACATTGCAACCTCATTTTTCACTCACATCAATAGTAAAGTTTGTAATACAATTTTACCACACAGGTGCAGTATTATTCCACATTTCATGCTTTGGGTTTTAAACTTTTGCTTTCATTTTGGGAGGAGAGGGGGCAACAGGATGTAACAAGGAGCCAGTAACAAAGCAGGGACGAAAAGGACCTGGCTGTGCTCCTAACTCGATGACATGCAATTTCGATGTAATTTGACCGGCATTTGAGGTTTTTGTTGCAAATGATATGAGAATAGAATCCTTGTCATTTGATGCGACCTGATTCAATTCTAAATCAGTCACATCACACCAAGAAGTGCAGAAACAAAGTTGACAAAAAAAAGCAAATCATAGAATGGATTTTTAATTACTCTGAATGAGGCAAATGACGCAGCATGAGCTTCAAGAGCTTGACTGCGTTGCTGATCCACAGAAAACAATTGCATATTCCCCTTAACAAGCTGTGGCCTCTGTTACACAATCCAGAAAAGAGAATTATTATTTAGTAATTAGTAAGGGTATATTAGTACTTTTACCCCCATTACTGACCCCTTCCTAGAACCCTACTAACCCGTGATATTAATCAGCCTAAAGAATATACATAGTACACACCTCGGGAGAACCAGGAGCAATCCCAATCAAAACAAGCCATTTCTCAGCAGGATCACATCGATAATTGATAATTTGGTTGTTTGCCAAATTTGTTGTTCTATCAAACAACTTTACAGGCTCAGAGTCACCTAGAAAGGCGCACACAGAGAATCATATTCATCAAGGAATGATCATTCATTGCACTAGATACAAGAGTAGGCATTCTTAAAGAATATACCATCAATTGCCCAGTGATAAACTGCAGTTTGAGTAACCAAGCCCATCATCTTTGATGTAATCCACTTCCAGAATACAACCTAGATAGAAAATTTGGTCAATATCAGTCCATTTTTTTATAAATTTGCATAATTGTAGAGCAGTGCTTAACTGTGCATGCAATTTAAAGAGTGCATTACTTTAATTGATGAACAAAAAAACTTATACCTGCTCAGGCATCATATGAGATTTCATTTTTTGTTTTGCTTCGATATTGAATATTTGCAAGTGGTCTTGATTTGTTCCCTGAACTTGGGCTTCAGGAAGAGGAAATCTCTTTGTCAATAACAAATTAATTGAAGAGTGAAGCAGTGTAAAGTAAAGCACATGCCAAACAAGTACACTTCAAAAAAAAGAACAGTGAATTTGCTATATTTATTGAGAATGCCGTATATAGTACATAGTAAATTAGGTAGTAACTTTTTAAGTTCAACAATAGCAACCCAGTTGAATCCCACAAGAGTAGGGTCTCGAGAGGATGTATGTACGCAGACCTTACCCCTACTCGAAAGTAGAGAGGCTGTTTCAAAAGAGACCCCCGGCTCAACGTCAAAAGTTGCATTGATTGACTAAATGCTACTTCATTAAGTAAAGAAGCGCGGACAGTTTGGAGATCTAATTTGCTTTAGGTAGTAACTTTAAAGTTCAAAGGCTAATAATGTGTACTCTAACAAACCAAGTACTAAACTTATTATTAATCATGAAAAAATGTTTACTTAGGTGCATACACTATGAAACTTTGATTTAAATGCATCCGTTGCCACGCATCCCATTCTCAAACAAGCCGATCTTTCAAGAGACTACTAATTACTAAAGGGTGACTAGCTCAGATTTACGTAAATTTCTAAATGCCCCCTCCCCTCTTTCCCCAAATTCCCAACAAGATACAAATCAAAACAAACAAAAAAAAACATATGAAGGAAACCAACCAAATGACCCCCTCCTCCTGTTTCTCAATTTGAATACAATGATCAAAATAATATAAGAAACGGTTATTTGAGAAAACACAAACGTTTAAAACTAAAAATAACTGCAAAGTATAGATCTGATACCTTTCAAAGCCAAAATTCTGGAAGTGGGACACATTATAGCAGAATCTGCAGTAATAGGCCGCCTCAAAGGCTGCATTGGCTGGTTCATATCAATGATCACAACACTACTTTGTGGGGCTGTCTCCCGAACACAAATAAACTTATCTGATTCCATTGTCACATTGGTAAATGTGACAAATTGTGGGTTGACCCCTAAGCTTGACAGCTGCAATACAAAAATCACATCTCAAAACCTAAATTTCAAAGGCCACACTTGTCCGTGTCAAATCTAAAAACTATCTCACAGATCTAAGTATCTAAGTACGACTATAGCATCATAATTTCTAATTCAATAAACCAACAAAAACAATATTCAGAGACGACTAATTTGACGGTAATATTCAACCAGACAACCAGTTCATATCACAGCACAATCGGGAAAACGATACAAAATACAATTATTAAAAAAACACTCCCTAACTGGTAGAACTATCCCATCAGATCAAGAGAAATTACTGCATTTCATTACCGTAAGGACCTCCTTCATGGCGATCGGGGCGTTGGCGGCTGCCATGGCGGCCGTCGGATCTGAGCCCCAGATCTGTGAAGGCCAGATGCTAAAATGACGCCGTAATCAGGTCAAACGATCGGTTTATTGCAATCGCCAGCAGTCCCCAAACCGTCGAGCCCTCCGATGGAGAGACGCCGACGAAGATCTAGAGAGAGAATGGGCGAGGAGGGTTCTGCATTTCCGCTCCAGAGAGAGAGAGAGAGAGAGAGAGAGAGATTTACTCCTGAAGTGCTGATTCATTTCTCGGCTCTATTTTCCCATCGTATATAGTGCGCGTCTGGGGCGAAAACGGAATGTCAGGCAATTAAAATTAAATTAAATTAAATTAAATTAAGATTATTGCTAAATTGAGAGCTTATTTTATTTGGTTTTTTTTCTTGAAAATCATCTCTACTAGTCTACTACCCCTTCGTGCTAATTTAAATCATCTGTTTCAGTTTATAATGTTTAACTAAAGTTATTTTCAATGCAATTTATAAGATAAATTGAGGTGGAATTATAAAATAAATTTTACATATTACAAAATTATGGAATATTTCAAAATTTCTACGGAACAAAAAATACATAATTATATTATTTTATCAAATGAATAAAAAAAATAGTGAATGAAGATTGATCCAATTAATTTAATTTAATTTTAATTGCTACCCCTTCGTGCTAATTTAAATCGTCTGTTTCAGTTTATGATGTTTGACTAAAGTTATTTTCAATGCAATTTATAAGATAAATTGAGGTGGAATTAAAATATAAAATTTACATATTACAAAATTATGGAATATTTCAAAATTTCTACGAAACAAAAAATATATATAATTATATTATTTTATCAAATGAAAAACAAAAATAGTGAAAAAAAGTGAATGAAGATTGATCCAATTAATAGTAAACATGAAACTTAATTTGAGACGGAGATGGTATAATTAACTCAAATCAGAGTATAATGTCACACAAATAAATGCCAGAGGGACATGGACTCACTTTAGCCAATCACAGTTAGAATCATATGCTCGAGCAAGCATACGAGCCACCCGAATCGTTAATCTTCTAGCAAGTGATAATATGAGAAAATCAAAGTCTCACATCATTGTTTTATAATCAGAAATAATACTCATGAAATAAGAAAAAAATTCTACATCATTGTGAATTGTCGTCGAAACAACATCAATGTCAATCTCTACCACAAGTGCTTGATGTCTGAACTACGCCCTCAACCATTTAAGCACTTCGGACAGGAGTTTATTATCACCACATGCTTCCTTTGGAGTTTATTAGCACGGACCCTTATGAGGTTATTTGATTATGGACCTATTTGAGAATAGCGCTCGAATTTAGCGTTAACGTTTTGAAAAGACTATCGACAGCGTTTAGCGTTAGCGTTTTCAAAGTAATCTGCACCGTTAGAACTTTATCTAAAACACTAACGCTAATCTCTAACGTTATTCCTAAACAAGCCCTATATCTATTCAACTCTCTATAGTATATACCCTCTCCAATCGGAATTGACTTTTGACATATAACTAAATATGAATTACATGGTATATTAATTAGATATATATATTTAGAAAATTTTTATAATATAAATCAAATAAAATTATTCTTTTATCAATATCTACTTTAAAGTTTTCTAATTAAAACTCAATGTTTATCAATTTGACTGAAAAAGTCAAAATAAATAAATACTCCGAGATAGAGATAATATTTTATAAAATATTAAGCAGATAAGTTTATCCTTAAACGTTTAGGACTAAAGAAATGTTTGATGAGTGAAACCCTTTATATGTGTTTGACATTGACAAAGCAACTCTTCCAAATGAGTGTGTTTTGGTATCTCTCCAATTCGAGAGATACCAATGTAGGATTTCACATATCTCTCTTAATAGTCAATCTCTCACTAACAACCATCATTTCAGGTCCTTTCAAAAATTCAAATTTTAAAACTCATATCATATCTATATCTTATCAAGCCTTCAAAATTAGCCCTAAGAGATCGGGAAGATTGAACCAATTACATGCAAAAACATTTGGGATGTATTTTCAGAACAAGGTTGCCACTATGAAGAACACCATTAGTGCTGTATGATTAAACTCGAAATCAATGTACAGGTGAAAGATTACATACTCGGGAAATGATAATATTAGCCGTGTCATGTATTAAACAAGTTAAGAACAAGAGAGGTGTAGATATAACATTATGTACTTGGCCTGTCTCGCCAACCAGAATGATGCAAATCCAAAAAGCTTTCCTCATTTGATCCCGAATGAATATAGTCGAGCATTAGGGCCTGCTATTTTACGTATAAATCTTGTATTTGTATTCGTACTTTGTTCATCCTACTATGTTCACTCTGTCTCTATATCTACTTCTGGATTCTTCTAGTAAGCCTACTGAGATGATTATGGTGTTCAAGGGGAGGGGGAGGAGTGAGATCATGGAACAAAATGGCCAATATGAATCACCATTGCACTTATATCATCAAAGGAGCCTCTTGTCAGGGCCATGTTAACAAGCTCTTTACAGGCAGAGAGTGGGTTTGGGTTTTCAACACCGATGCATGAAGATCGAACTGTATCGACTGCCTCTTGATTACTAACCTGCAAATCGGATATGAAAAAAAAGTTTAGATTAGAATCCCGCAAGAACAATATTATTATTATCATCATCAGCAATTCAGCATCATCATCTATGGCGAAGATATATAAGATCTGGAACGAAGTTATTGGGAGAACGGTGGGGGTGGTTCTTGTGGAGGATAAAATGCAAGAAACTAGACTGAGGTGGTTTGGCATGTAAGGAGAAGGGAAGAGTGAGGAGATGTGAGAGGCTTGTGGTAGTGGCTGTGAGAAGGGGTAGGGGTATCCCTATGAAGAATTGGGAGGAGGTAATTAGATATGACATACGACTTCACGATCTTACCGAGGATGTGACCTACATTGAGAAGGTTTTATAGAATTGGAGTATCTAGGTAGACCTCTAGGCCTTAGATTGTAGTTCATGATGGTGTGTTTTGTGCCCCAGTGTATGGCTTGTGCATATGCCTGTTTTCTGTGTTTGGGTCTTGTTGCTAGTATCGGTAGGTGTTTGTCTGTGTTTTTACTATTGCTTTCTTTGTTATTTGGATTATCTGCCATTCAGGATGCATTTTGTCTGTGTTAAAATTTACCTTGTCCCAAACTCCATCAGAAGCAAGAATCAAGAATTCAAACTCAGGTTCAGTGGATATGACTGTTGTTTCTGGTTCTGCAATCACCCACCTTTTCAAACCAGAGTCCCCTATCCCACGTGACACGGCAAGGGATCCCTGGATTCTCCAAACTCCATAGCGACAATCTACGTAGCCACCCTTCAGAAAAAAAACATTCTATGGTTAGTGTGAGTTGCCCATGCGCATTAGACTTGTGACTCTTCAAAAGAGCTTACACTATGTTTGGTTCAAGGAGTTTGAAAGAAAATGAAAAGGAAAACAGTTTTCTTGTTTGGTTAAAGAGGAAAAGACAAGAAAAGTGGAAGGAAACAAATTTGAAGGCAAAATGTACTAAAGGGGAGAAAACCAAATTCCCCCATTTTGGTGAGGAAAACGAGAGAAACTCATTTTCTTTTCTTTTCCTTCCAAATTCCTTGAAGTGTTAGTGTTTCACCCAATCTTTACATCTAAGGTTGGCATATAAATAAGCTTACCAGCTCTTCAATCCTTTGTCTTTCGCTTTCCCTTGAGGGCCGGTGATCAACTGTTAGGGCCTCTGCAACCCCACCTCGGCTCATAACAGCACGACAGTCGCCCGCATTTGAAACGACGAGTTTGCCCTTGTGAATCAATGCTGTCACACAGCTCGTCCCGCCCCTCGCATTTTGCTTGAGGAACTCTTCGTCGGTGGTTAGGTAACCCGCCTTGACTGCACATTCAATGTCTTCTTCACTCCCTACGGCAACCTCATTCATTATATTCCTGCCCATGTTTGCTGCTGCAAACTCTGCTGCTCTAGCTCCTCCATGCCCATCATATACGGCGAAGAAAGCCTGAAACCCACATATTGTATCAGGATCAAATGAAAAGAACAGATTCAGCTTCAAACAACAATTGTTTGGTTACAAATCTGCAATCACTTGTTTTTTCTGGCCTAATTCATTCTCAAAATTGGGTTCTAACTATCCTAATTTGAAAATAATATGGCTCAAAGTTCGGTTCAATTACATGGTTTTTTGAGAATGAATTTGATTGGATTAATGGCCTCCGAAAATCATTTTTAAAAATACTTATATGCTGATGAACAAATACTCCGTAATTCAATGAAGAATCCATATCTAGACAGAAAATGTAAACAAACTCAGAGAAAGCCAGAAAAGCTGGAGTGAATTGATTACCTGCTTAGAACCTTGTAGATCAACAATGGCGGAATACCTATCTTCCATGGCACCCCGTTTCCCTCTTTTGCAGTACACAGAGTAACCTTCTCCTTCAACCTCCACCTCATCCAACCTATCCTCGCTCCTTGGAGTCCGAACGCTCTGTTCTAAATCAAACGGCGCTACCGGGATATCAATTCTCGCCGGCCTCTTCCTCTTCAGCACCGGCGCAGTGACCGGCGACGAGGTTGAGCGAAATGAAACTGAATTAGATTCTTCCCTAGCGGAATCGCGCGTCTGATTGGGAAGCCGGAGACTCAACGAGCATAACGGCCACGCCGGCGATGAGCTCGGCGGCGAGAGTGATGAGGCAGCGATTAGGTTGCGGCTGATCGGAGATAAGGCGGTTGATTTACTGAAAATCGGCGACGGCGAGAAGACCGGCGAGTGAACGGCCGCGCAAGGCATTTCTTCTGGGAGTTGGAATTTGGTCAATTCTTCGTCGGCGTTTGAATGAATGGATCTGAAAGAGGGGTGCGCCAAGCTGAATTTATACGTAAATGAGAAAAAAAGACTTTTTGCTTTTTCAAACATTCTAATTAAATACTATTTCCGTTGTGGAATATTTTTCGATTTTGACATTTTATATTTTTAAAATTAACAAACTTTGATTATTAATTAAATATTTTTGATATTGATATTGATATTGATATAAAAATAAATTTATTAGATTTATTTTATTAAACATTTTCAAAAGATTATTTTATTTAATTAAAATATCATTATTTTTATTTATTTATAGGTTAAAGATAGAAACTGTTGACTGTAAAAAAAAATCAAAACTAGACAAATATTTAGAACGGAGATAATATTTTTTTTTAATTTTCGTAAAATCATACTAAAGAATTTTATGGTAATGTGAGGTATTTTACGAGTATATATACATATAATAATATTGTTCTCCACTTATCCATTGAGAATTAAAAGAAATCTATTTCTCACTAGTAAAAATGTAAAATATCCCTCCTCTATTGGTTGTATGATATTCTTGTAGTACAAAAATTTGTTTGCCTTAACTCTCACTATTTCTAAATAAACTTTAGAATATGATAAAGTTATAAAATTCACTAAAAAATCATATTGTAAAATCAAATCGCAAATTCGTATGTAATTGAGATCTATTCCATTTTTGGACTCCAATAAGCTAAGAATCAAAGAAAAAATTATAAGTATATATTTCCCCTGTGTTATATTTCCCCCGTGTTACAGAGCATTTGTCTTTCGTGGTCAAATGAAATACGTTTTGGTTATCAATTACATGGATGGAAATTATATTACAATACATAACGATATAATGATTAATGAAATAATATCTAAATTTTGTTACTAGACAGATCTAAATAAACCATATGTATAAAGTTTTTTTGAACAGTAATAATTACTCCGTATATTACAAATTTTTGTTATACTTAACTACTGCTTATTAAAAATTTGATTAGATGAATATTCTTAAACGCAGAAAAGTACTCCCTATGTTTTACTTGGTCTTAGAAATGAAATAAAGATAAAAGTTTTGGCGGAGAAAACGGGTAACGGTCAAAGTAATACGGTAGTGATTAACCCGATTTAAAAGATTTCAAAAAGAAGAAAGAATAATTTGTTTGGGTCATCAACGAGTTTTGACTCGGCCACTCAAAAGCAGACTCCGTATATAGCTGGCAAATAACAGCTTCATTTGGCAATTGTGTGTTAAAATATTATGTTTCCATCTTAAATTAATTGTCTCAAATTAAATGATTATTTCTTATTTAATTTGTATAACTATGGTGTAAATTATACTTCATTCATCCCAAAATGTTTTTCCTTTTGACTTTTTTGGTAAAAAATTGGAATATAGTTTTTAAATATCAAATTCCTAAAATATATGCTTAGGCATAAATATAAATATTAATGGTCAAAGTGCAATATTTGAATTTTACGAAACACCTCGAGAAAAATGACTAGATGGGGATACTCCTTCCGTCCCACAAAAAGTTCCTATTTTGAATAGTATTTAGTCAAATATTTACAAGCTTTGACTACAAATTGTGAGAAATGTATATTGAATTATGAAATAAATTTTATATAATTGGATTCATCTTAGTATCTAGTTTTGATATCTCAAATTTTTTTAGCATTTCTTTATTTAGATTATATTTAATTTATGGTCAAAGAGTGCAACAGTTTGACCAATTTATGGTCAAAATGGGAACTTTTTTGTGGGACGCAGGGAGTATTATATACAAATATGTTTTAGGTCATTCCCATATGTAAGGATATGAATTTGTAAATATATACTTAGATGTGCATACATCCTAAAAGTATAATTTTACATTGGGAATATATCTCACTTATCATAGTCAATGCTAGAAATCGATATTGATGTGTTGTTTGTCAACTGGAATCGCCGCCTATCACAACCATAATTATTTACGGTTGTCGTCGCTTGTCGGAATCCATATTTGCAACCATGGTCATTGATGTTGTGTTTTAAGCAAAGAATTTAAAAAATTGTATGGTCACCCTCCAGAAATTAGCAAGACGCAATCTCGCAATGCACCGAATGTGAAAAATGTTTTTAAAGGGGCCGTTGGTAGCCTCTTGTCAAAGAAAAATAAGACTAAGGCCCCGTTCCGTTCAACTTATTTTTTCTTATTCTTATTAAAATCAGATCAGATCAGATCAGATCAGATCAGATCGAATCAGATCAGATCAGATCCAATCAGATCAGATCAGATCCAATCAGATCAGATCAGATTCAATCAGATCAGATCAGATCAGGACTTATTAAAATCAGATCTCATTAAGAATTATTATTATTATTATTATTATTATTATTATTATTATTATTATTATTACTACTACTACTACTACTACTATCATCATCATCATCATCATCATCATCATCATCATCATTATTGTTCTTAAAAATGAAAAAGAATAAACTTTAGAAATATGTTAAATAGAAAACTGAGAAAGTAATCATTAATTATTAGATGTCGGAAAAATTAGTTTTAAAATACATTGGCAATGTCAATCTAATATACTTTTAAAATATATTTTTATTGCTACTTGTAATTTGAGTTTCTAAACTTTTGATCTTTTATAAGGATGAGATATTTTAATAAAAATACTATCTCTTCTATATATTGATTATCTAAATTTAATTACTTTTTAATGTATATCTAAATTAAATATTTATTATAATGTATAATTCTAA